CAGCTACCAGGTATCCGACCAGCCTCTGCCACAATGCGCTACTGTGGCCCAGCTTGGCGTGGGGCCACGTGCTTTAGGGCAGCTCTGGGCTGTCACCCGGGGCTGCATACCGCTCGCAGGGACTGCCAGCCATGCTAGCCCAGGTCCTGCATGCATGAGTCCTGCACCGTCTGGCCGGGGCACTTCTGTGTATGCAGGACCAGGGTTGGCATGGCTGGTGGTCCCCATGAGTGGTGCGCAGCCCCAGGTGATAGCTTGGAGCTGCCCGAAAGCACACGACCCTGCACCAGGCCATGCTGCGCCACAGCAGCACGCTGTGGCAGAGGCTGCACAGATACCTGGCAGCTGGGGCCGAGCCGCACTGCCCCCCACCGTGCAGGAGGGCTGTGCCATGAGACGAATAGTGCAGCTGCTGTTGGTAAGCTGTGGGGGGACTGCAGCCGGCCATGGGCCAAGCAGGGGGCACCGGTCCTTGGTGGGAGAGGCAGCCTAAGCCTTCTCTCATTGGGGCACAGATCTAGGGGTTTGCATCCCTGGGAGGGCTGACAGGCTGTGTTGGACTCCTCCCAGGGGTGCGAGCCCCTGGATCTGCACCAAATGAGAGGCTCAGGCTACAGTAGCAGCAATTTTGTCCGGTGCTGGGCGCAGCTTGCGCCCAGTGCCAGTCCCAGGTGGGATAAACAGCCTGAGCGTCCTCTCATTCAGGGCGCAGATCCGGGGGCTTGAGGAAGGCTCCTTCTGGGGGTGCGAGCCCCCAGATCTGCACGCCAGACGAGAGAATGCTGCCACTGCTGGCAAGTGGAAGGACTTTTGGTTTGAACAGTTTGAGGTTCAGTTTCCCAGAAACCTCTGCACCCATCTCCTTGAAACTTGGCAGGCTTCATGCCCTCAGAAGGAGCTACCATCCCTGCAGTTTTCATCCAAATCAGGCAAGAAGTGATAAGATTTTAGGCATTTTCACGATTCCCCATTATAGCCTACGGGCTAAATGTTGAAACAGTTTCTACGAAACGAAATGGGAACATGCTTCAAAACTAAACGAAACACTGTCCCTTCAAAACGGCGAAACGGACATTGAAACGAAACAATGGTGCTTCGTACAGCCGTACCTGGAACAGGTCCTTCAAGTGTACTAAAGGAGGCAGGAAAAAATAATGTTTCACATAATTAAAGACTGCAAAATATGCACAAAACAGCCAAGGTAAGTTTCCATGGCCAACTTTAATTCTGGCATTTCCTAGCTTCCCAGAACTTAACTTTGCAACTTTCTCTCTCTTATCATGTAGGTTTGTACATTTGCTTTTCTATATCTTTTCCCTTGATTCTCCTTTTACCTGTGTTCTCTCCAGTCTGTCCCTATTCCATCCCTTCTACTCTCTGTTCCAGGTTCCTCATTCTAGTGTTTCCTTGGCTCACTGTCCTTGCCCCAGTCCTAGCTTCCCAATCCCAGCTCCCCATCCATGTCTCATTTTTTCCCCCCAACTTGGTTTCCTGTATTCCTCTCCATGCTCCCCATCCTAACTCTTCCACAGTCTCATAGACTCATAGAGAAGCAGAGTTGAAAGGAACCTCCAGGTCATCTACTCCAACCCCCTGCTTGAGGTAGGATCATCCCTATCCAAACCATCCCATACAAACTGTAATCTAAACTCTACATAAGACTACTGTTGTCAAGTTTGCAGATGACACAACAAAATTTGCAGATGACACAGAACTAAGGACTCCAAATAGGTGTCCTGCGCAGGTTATTTCAGATAACTGATTTTTTACATAACCAGCAATCCCCTTACCCTGGGGATGCTGGAAATGGAGATTTTACTGTACCTGGTTAGATGGCAGCATTACAGAGAAGGATCTGGGAATACATACTCAATATGAGTCTGCAGTGTGATGTAGCAGCGCAACAGGCAAGTGAGGCTTTGGGATGTATCAACAGAAGCATTAGATGCATGATGTAGGAGGTGATAGTGCCTCTCTATTTGGCACTGGTTAGGCCTTGCTTAGAGTATTAGGTGCAGTTTTGGGCTGAAGTTAGAGAAGGTCCATCGACAAAGGACAAAAATGATCGAGGGCTTGGAAGGCAAGTCATGCAAAGAGAAGTTCAAGGAAATAAGCATGTTCAGCTTGCAGAAAAGGCACTAAGAGGGGACATGCAGCATCCTTCAAACACCTGAAGGATTATCAGAAAGAGAAAAGACATCTTTTCTCTTTTGCTTCAGAGAATAGAGCACAGACCAATGGCTTGAAGTTGCAGCATAGTAGGTTTAGATTTGATATCAGGAAAAAACTTCTTCACTATTAGAACAGTGAGGCAGTGGAACAGACTGATTACGGAAGTCATGGAGTCTCCGTCATTGTAAGTGTCCAAGAAGAACACTTCAAGAAGTTCAAGAAGTGCTCAAGAAGAGGTTGAACAGGCATCGGTCAGGAATGATCTGGGAGTAATTATGTTTATGTTCTACTACAGGCATTTCCTATATTTCTGGGCTTTGCTGGTTGCCACATGTAGCAG